CTGTTGGGTACACCAAGTTCTTAATACAGCTTCCAAACCACTAACCTTAAATCGAGTATTTGTGGCTGATACTTAAGATCCCCTTCCTACAATGCTGTAAACTGACTATACTTTAACACACACACACACACAGACACACATACACACACACACACACAAAATCCCCTTTCTCAGATGTAGAACCCATATTGAAAATTGAGGACAAACAACAATCCAAAGAGGGTTTCCCTCAGTTTCCTTCACTTTTAGTGTATTTGTTTTATACAGTAGTCCCCCACTTATGTGCAGGGGTTACATTCCAAGACTCCTAGGGTGGATGCCTGAAACTGCAGATGGTACTGAACCCTATATATTCTGGGTTTTTTCCCCATACAACATACCTATGATAAAGCCTAATTTAAAATCAGGCACAGTAAGAAATTAACAACAACAACTAAACTACAGTTGAACAGTTATAATAATATACTGTAATAAAAGTTATAGAGATGTGGTCTATCTCTCAAAATATCTCATTGTCCAAATTTAATTCCTTTTCCATCTTACCTAAGCGCTTATCACTCACTGTGACTGTAACTTTTGCAGTTTAAGGTACAACGGCAAAACAAGCATGAGTTTCTTTTTCCTTCACAGTTTCGTGGATAGAAAATTTGTTACCATAGATCGTAGCAACCTCAGCATATGATTTTTTTTCTCTCCTTACTCAGTTGAGAACTTTCACCTTTTCACTTAAAGGAAGCCACTTCAAGGCTTCTCTTTGGCATATCTGAATTGCCAGCATCAGTACTCATATGCTTTGAGGCCACTGTTAAGTAAAATAAGGGTAACTTGAATATAAGTACTTCCATACCCAACAGTCGATCTCATAACTCAGATGGCTACTAAGTGACTGACGGGTAGGTAGTGTATACAGTGGGGGTACACTGGACAGGGGTGATGCACATCCCAGACCAAAGACTGGGATGGCAGGAGATCTCATCACACTCTTGAGAACAGTGTGCAATGTAAAACTTATGAATTGTTTATTTCTGACATTTTCCATTTAGTATTTTTGGACTACAGTTGACGGGTAACTGAAACTTTGAAAAGTGAATCACGGTAAAGGGGACTCCTGTTATTCCCGTGTAGCTAACTGATGAAGTTTTATTTGCCTTTTCCTGTCAGCCTTGCAGCAGTTATTTAGGAGCCTGGACAGTTTTTCATATTTATTTTTAGCAAGGTTCATACTTAAAAGTTTCTTGGACTTTCTTTCTTTCTTTTTTTTTTTTGTCTGATCTTATTTATTTGTTACTCTTAGAACATCTTATTTTTGACTGGATTCAGACTTAGAGGTAGAAGCTCTCAGAGAGGACAGCCTCCGTCTCTTGGCAATCTGTTCCCAGCGTTTTTCTTTGGCCTCCTTCATCCTCTTAGCCGAAAGTTTAGCATATTCTGCAGCCTCTTTGTTCTTCTTAGTATGCTGTTTCTTCAGAGCAATGCGCCGACGTTTGTGTTGCAGAACACGTGGGGTAACAAGACGCTGAATCTTGGGAGCTTTGGTCCTAGGTTTCTTACCTTCTTTGTTGAGGGGCTTTCTCACAACCTACTGGCGGACACCATATTCTTTAGAGAGGTTGAAAAGTTTGCGGATTCTGCTAGCTCTTTTGGGCCCCATGTGACAAGGCACAGTAGAATCGGTGAGTCCAGGAATATCCTTCTCCCCTTTTTTTATGATGCCAAATTGAAAACACTCAGATTGGCATCCACGATACAACCCCGTACAGATTTGCGCTTCCTTTCTCCAGTCCTCCTTGGCCTGTAACAGGAGTGCCCCTTACTCAGTAGCAGGCGGACTCGGCCATGGGTCAAGACACCCTGCTTCATGGGGAAACCTTGTTTGTCGTTCCCACCACTGATTCGGACCACTTAACCCTTCAATTCTTCACCCAAAGCGTCAGCAGCAACTTCTGTGGCCATGCGCTTCTCATAAAAGGTCCGAAGTTTGCATTCATCGTCCACTTCAATGAGTTTCTGGCAGCCGGGGGCCAGGAAAGAGATGTTCAGCTTCATTCTGAGCAACCGACTGCCTCCAAGGCGCCGCGAAAAGGGCTCTTGGACTTTCTATAGCTTGTTTTTTGAAACCTTCCAGCAGGAAAATAACTAGACGCCACCGTTGTCTGAATTGAGGTGCTGAACCGCAAAGGAAACTACCACTTTCTTTATTCGTTTCTTCTTGAACCCTTGGCTTTGGCAGTTGAGGAAATAAGAACTGAATTATGACCAAAATTCTATGGTGCATCTTTTAAAACAAATCTCTTATGGTTTCAGTATGGATGGTAGGGTTTCCTTATCTGACAGAAAGACAAAGTTGGTTTTAAGTTGGATTATTTTAGAAAGTCTGAGGCATACTAAATTTTAGTATCTTTTGATCACGTAGATGGTGAAAATAGCCAGGGTGATATCTGTTCTAATATATCAGAGTTACTGCTGGTTTACACCTGTGTCCTGGTTCAATTATTAATAGCTCCCCCTTTCACTCTTAGTTGTCCTAGTTTGGATAATATATGCTCAACTTTTAATGCCTCAAAGATAGTTGATAAGTTACAATCTTAAAAATTATAAGTTGGGTTTTTGTTTTTGTTTTTGTTTTTTGAAGAGTTATACCTGGCTGAGTTTCCTGAGTCAGACACATGCAAAATAAAGTAAAAACCACAAAGAGTTTGTGATTCTGGGAAAATGGCTTTTGAGTTTCTATATATTGATCATGGTTCTCCGTAGTAATGATTTCCAAATTTGGTTATGCATCAGAATCAGAAAGTAACCTTTTTACAAATAGTTTCATGGGTCTTACCACAAGTCTACTGAAGTTGTACCAGAGTCTGAACTTGACTTTACCAAAAATGTAGAACTGCATGCTGTGTAAATGTACTGGATTTCTTTGTCAGTAAGTTTCTAAAGTAGCATTTAGAGGAACATTTCTTTCTGTAGTTTGGGTGGTGTTCGGGGGTTCTCTGTGATGGCTGCTTTGAGCCTTGGGGGATACGCCTGGCATTGACATGAGTCGCTTTTTTTGTTTCAGATGTCATCTGGGTCATTCTCAGTGTGGAGGTGGGTGGACTTCTAGGAGTAACGCAGCAGCTGTCGTCTTTTGAAACGGAGTTCAACACACAGCCACATCGCAAGGTAGAAGGAAACTTCAACCCGTTTGCCTCTCCCCAAAAGAACCGACAATCAGATGAAAACAACTTAAAAGACCCTGGGGGTTCCGGGTTCGACTCGATCAGCAAAAACACATGGGCTCCTGCTCCTGACCAAACTGAGCAAGATGAGAATAGACTCTCACAGAACTCTGTAAATCTGTCCCCCAGCAGTCACGCAAACAACTTATCAGTAGTGACTTACAGTAAGGTAGGTGCCCTCGGAGAAGAGGAGAAGGGGTAGGTGGTGGGCCTTGGGATTTGTGATACCCCTTCATGGCAAACTTAGAAGCCTAGAATGTTCTTTAAGACTGCTTAGCTCTCCTGCCAACGCAACAACACAAAAACCTACCCTTCTCCCCTCCCCCTTCCCCATCTCCATGTCCTGTGGATATTACTCCATTCACATATTTATAACTTACTGTTCGTCTTCTGTCTCGTTGGTTTGGTGTTTGGAAGAACTAAGTTCTTTACCTTAGACTAATAAAAAAAAGTCTAAAATATACTA